CAATTGTGCGCCGCCCCATGGGTCTCCCGGTCGCGGCCGGCTACGGACAATTCCTTTGACCTCATGGCTTGGTTTATGTTCTGACATGCACTGTCAACTTTGGGACCTTATATAGACAGGTGTGTGCCTTTCCAAATCATGTCCTATCAATTTAATTTATCACAGGTGGATTCCAATCAAGCTGTAGAAACATCTCAAGGATGATCAATGGAAACAGGATGCACCTGAGCTCAATTTTGAGTCTCATAGCAAAGGGTCTGAATACTTATGTAAATAAGGTTTTTATGTTTTTAATTTTTTATAAATTTGCTAAAATGTCTAAAAACCAGTTTTTGCTTTGTCATTATGGGGTATTGTGTGTAGATTGCTGAGGATTTGTATTTATTTAATCAATTTTAGAATAAGGCTGTAACGTAACAAAATGTGGAAAAAGTCAAGGGATCTGAATACTTTCTGAAGGCACTGTAAATTCATTTACACTTCCATTGTTTAACACCTCCCTAATTTGACACCCCCCACCCCTCCCATTTTGCCAGTTACCCACTGATATGTATAAAAGGGATATACCTGCAAGAAAGTGGTAAATAAGGGGCTGTTTGAAAGGGGGTCATATAAACATTTTACAGGTAATATACCACATCTTCTGTCTGAAATGGGCATTATCTCCACCAGATAGACCCAGCCAGTGAGTCTTCAGTGTCTTCACATCCAGTGGTCCCTCAGGAAGAAGCCATCAACGAAGGTCAAAGGTTAGCAGAGAGAAAAAAGAGACACTCCACTTTCATTTGTCACAAGCCAAATTAGTGCATTTGTATGCAAGAGTGTTTATTATTAGGCCTATTTTTTTTATTATTATTATTATTATTTTCTATCAAGTCAGTTGACTGTGTGTAAAATGCAATAACTGTGTGTAAAATATAAATACATACAATTTGATATTTTCACAATAAATGCCAATAAACTTGTTCCTGTTAAATCACAGTTCCAATAACCTGGAACGTTATACTGTACATTGGGACTTTCACTGCTCTTTATTGCACACAGGTGAATGCGTAAGATGGTGAAGGATTATGTCTTAGTGATCATAAATGGTGTATTATGCATCATGGTCTGTTTGTGTGATTTAGTGTATGCACAGACCAGACTTTTAAAAAGGCTTCCGCAGTTTTCTTGGAGCCTGATTTACAACGTGTTTGCACCAGGTGCAAAGTTTGCACGTGTTTTCCCAGATGGAATGAATCATAGAAGGTATAGTGTGGTGAAAGAAAGGAGTGTAAATGGAGAGACATTTGTTTTAATCAATCAGTCACTCAATAACCCTTTTTATAAAACACATTTGTCACAGCTTTGAATTTGGTGTTTTATGGAGCTCCGTCTTGTTGTAATGACTGTCTTTCTTTCCACATCAATTAGCCTAATTAAAAGTGAGCAAGATGACTTACGTTCCTTTACATTTTATCTGCATGTCGCACTACACTTCTCCTTTATACAGACATGAGAAAAATAATTATCATACTGCTAAGTGTTAAAACAATATGGCCACATAAAGCAAACCTTTTTCTCTATAAAAAATATATATTCTGGAGAAAGTAAATATGATGAAATGTTAAAGCCACTGGCTTCCATGATCTATTTAGGTAATCAATGAAAGAATACATAAGTGAGCCAGGAAAATGTTTATAAATGGGTCCAACAATTACTCAACAGATTAAACACAAAAAAGTATTAATGGCTTTATTGATCTAAAGCAGATGACAAATGATTTCAACACAGCTGGACATTTAACAAAAAAATGATGGTTATTTGCAGGCAATAATGCATCAACAATATTTTTTAGAAATCTGGCTCCTTTTCTTGTACAATTAACAAAAATGCATGTGAAAGAAAAACAACACAATATTAGACGCATCTGGCCAGCAGAACCAGGTCCTCAAAATGCAATACGACATAAAAGGATATCTAGCACAAGGAGATAGATACATCATCATCACCCATGTATTCATTCTATTTGTTAGAATAGAATTATCACAGAAAAGCATTTGAGTGAAGATTTGAACACAAAAAAGTAAAACCATTTCAAAGTGTTTTGATGGATGAATCAATTTAAGACACAATTGAGAGTAGACCTAGAAGCCTACACGAAGCCAAAAGTAATATTATCATTCTTGTATGTAATGTCATTTCATAAACCAGACTGGTTATTCAATTTAACAAAAGTAAGAGGAACTATTTCAAGTATTTTCATGAAGATTTGTGTGGCAAAGTAGCCTACAACAGACAAGTTTAGGCCTACTAAATAGACAGTTCCATACATGTCCAGCATGCATGATTGATTATAGATGAATATTACAAATCTGACTTATTATCGTAATAATTTTAAAAGCTGAATTAGATAATAGGTTTGCATCAAGAACTGGTATGAAAAATCATTAATATTGTTAAAACAAATAAGCCTATCAATAAAAAAAATCAGTAAAATAGATTTTGTAGCTGTTACAAAGAATAAACTCACATAAAATACTCGGGCGAGGAAGGATTGTCACTGGTAGACCCAGTTTCATGGTAACCATTCGAACCAGTCAATTTCTCGCATTTGAGTTTATATGCGTCCCTCTCGCGTGCCAGCCGGTTGAGCTCGTTCTTTAGCTGCTCCACCTGTGTGACGAGGCTGGTCTTCTCATGCTCCAGAACGTGCTTCAGCTGAACACGTTTGTAGCGGCAGGATTGTGCATAGCCGCGGTTTTTCAGGGTTCGGCGCTTCTGCTTCAGACGCATCACGTCGTCCTTGGTCAGACCCCTCAAGTGCCGATTGAGCTCCCTCACTGACATAGACACCAGCTGGTCGTCCGAGAAGGCGCTCTCCACGTTGAGTCGTCTGTCGTGGCGATTCTGCTGATGGAGGTGGTGCGCACTTAGCTGCGAGTCGGGTGAGTGCGGAGCCGAGCAGTCGAGGTCGTGCTTGTTGTGGTTATATTGATTTTGGCCGTGCATATCTTGCATATCAGGGAGACCCGAGAGTGCGTCGGGTTGACGGTTAAGTCCAGGGTACTGCTGGGCATGGCCGTTGAGGTTATGTGCCGCCCCGTACCCTTCGAATTCCGCTTGGAGAGCCTGTTGGTGACCGTGTGGAGTGGGTTGGTGCCCGTGGACTGTGTTACCGATGAGGGCCTCCACTGCATCCTCAGGTGTCAGGCCAAAAGTGTTGGGATACATTTGCTGAGAATAACCTCCAGTGCTGGGTGTCCAGTAAAGATCATCATCAGGGTTCCTCTGCTCATCCGGATAATAACTCGGTGATGAGGGCACCGAACTGCAAGGGGTGCTGACCGGGGTGGAGGAGACTGAGTCTGGTCTCTGGAGCTCGCTACACGGCCCAAAGAATGAGCGGTCTATCCCCTGCATTGTCTCCTTCTTCACATCAAACTTCATCAAGTCGAACTCACTGACATAACCCAAAGGGTTTTTGGGAAGACCCAGATTTGTATGCGATTCGGCGGTCATTCTTTTCTGGATCTATTTGTCTTGGCCACTTCCAAGGGTCACAAAACTAAATTCTCTCATGCAGTCTTTTGCAACAATTTCACTATTGATAAGACGTTTTATACAATCAGTAAATCCGTCAAATGAAATCTACAGTGAAAATACGCGTGCGAAAAAATTGAAAGAAACCCGTCCTCTTCACTCAAAAGTTTAGAAACACATACAGTAGCCTATTAATCGGACAGAAGAAAAGTGCTCTGAGTCCACGGCGGGGCCAAGAGCTCTTTGCATGTGTGTAGCGCTACTGGTTTATGCTTGCGAGCACACTTTCTTCATAAAGAACCGTTGCATGATGTCACACGGTATAGACTACACCTCCATGCTCCTCTCCAATAAAAAGACGGCGAGAAGGGCAATTTGCATAATAGCTGATGTATGTGTTTTGACAATCCAACAGAGGTTGAATGTAGAATGGTGCCCACATTTTTTACATAGACCTGCAGACGTATTGTACACGTTTTCTAGGCTACTGTGGCCTACTTCTTTCTTTAATTTGTGCATACGTTTCTCTTTCTTTCACACTTTCCCTTGCCAATTGATGTATTAAAAGTGTTTATTGTGAAAGACCATCTAGGAACTGATGCTGGAATGAAAAGCATCTGAGGACTAAATAGGCTATGTTAATTATGTGGCATATATGTCCAGGGATATATTGTAGTCAATAGGGTGAGTAAATAAACATTTAGTCGCCCTAAATGACCATCTGACTTTCCATATAATTAACATAAAAGCATCACGGTTTAAAAATCACAATTATATTTGGACAACGGTGCAAAAACATAATTCAGAATTCTAATCGAGCTGTTGTGCATTTTGAATAATCCAACACCACCCATAATAAACAAATAGCCTATCCTCTCTCTAATCCATGAGTAGTCCATTGAAAATACATTTTTATATTCCTCTTGCATGTGTTATTATTTAATTTATCCTTATATTATATGAAAAGCACAATGGGTTGATCATAGAGCTAGAAATAGGCTAATTCTAAATAACTGTATTTCTATGGGGTTTCTCCTTAGTTGGTAGCCAAATATTATATGGATCTATGCTGACCCCTTGAGGTGATATGAGGTAAAACTTCATTCTTGCCTGTCTCAGAGTATACTGAACTGTGAATGAAAGCTAGTGTGGTATTATTGTCTGATAGCTACCCTGTTATTTTTTCATGAAAAACAATGTGTATATTGGCTTTTTTATAATGACCTTGCCAAAATAATGTACAGAGTATGCACAGTAGCCTATACCAAGTAAGTATGATAATGGTGGCTTGTGATTTCCTCAGCATATCACATATTGTACTTTCTTGTAGCCTTCTCTCCCTCTGTTTGTGTGTGTGTGTTTATAGATAACATCTATCCCACCTGGTCAGAGGGTGCTGCTGGGCACTGGTTATTTAGTAAACATACAGGCTTCTAATGAAATGAGTAGTTTTTTCAGACCAGTGACAGTAAAGGAACATGGATAAAATGGACATGAACAGAAAATCAATGGCCAGACTGCACAAGGCTAAAGTTATGATTGCTGGAGAACAACTGAGGTATGAGAGAGAGAGAGAGAGAGAGAGAGAGAGAGAGAGAGAGAAGAGAGATTGGCTTTCTTTATGGTTATGCTACCTGTTGAAACATACTGTGTGGAAATCCGACAAGCTCCTTCCATTTTTTTACATTTCTTCCAGATATAGTAGTTCGCATATTTCCTTCAGCTGATCTTCCAATTTAATGTAAACATTTAATTATAAGAGATACAATATATCATATAGAAATGTCAACTGAAACTGATTCAATTCATGTTTGAATATATTTCTTAATGTGCCCTTGTCCACTTATAGTCGTTATAGCTGCTTTATTCAAAGTTTTACCTCATTGCAAGGTTGAGGCTACATGATGGCAAACTGATCAAGGATCGACGGTACCATCTGCGCACTTACCCCAACTGCTTTGTGGCCCAAGAGCTTACAGACTGGCTGATCAGCAACAAGGAAGCTCCCGATCGGGCCACAGCGGTCTGCCTCATGCAACACCTGATGGACCATGACATTGTGCACCATGGTAGGGCACCACAATAGCATCTCTCAGGGGATATAAAATGCATAGTAGGAGCTTTTCCAAGAGCCTATAGCCCTGACACAGGACAAAGTGTATATCCAACTCCTATAATGCACTTTCTCACAAGAGCATAAGAGCTTTGCCAAGATACTAACATTGATAATTGATATGGGAGATCCAAAATGCTGAACCATAAAGTAGGGCAATGTGAAGACACTCTCAGGACGTTTCCTTTGTCTCTCTTCCACTCTGATCTCTTTAGTTTGTGACAAGCACCCTATGTTCAAGGATGCAAAATTGCTGTACCGTTTCCGTAAGGATGATGGCACATTTCCATTTAACACCGAGGTGAACGTCTTCATCCGAGGACAACAATTGTATGAGCAGTAAGAACTACTTTGTTCACCCTGGGGGGTCTCTATCTCGTAGGAACAAGTGCCCTTGCAGAGGACAAGCCTATCTTAGGGTAGCCACATCATCTGTATTATGTTCTCAGTATGTGCTGGTTTTGGTGATTATGGACTGAAACTTCAAACTTTACCAAATGTATACACAAGTTTGTGTGTAATTGTTCCATTAATTCTGTCTCTGGAGTGCAAAATGGATGTGACCTGTTTTGTGTGTGTCTGTGTTTTGCAGTCTAATAACTGGCAGAGACTCCATTCTGCAACTAAGGGAGGAGCAAGGTGTTGCATACCAGCGTTCCATCCCTGGCTGCCAGTTGATCGACTGGTTGTTACAGAATGGAGAGACAGAGAGCAGGCGCCAGGGTTTGGAGTTCTGCCGTGCTTTGCTGGAGCATGGCATCATTCAGCATGGTGAGTTATGTTACCTTTTAACCTTTGGCTAATAACATTGGAGGTAATACTGTTTCCCTAGCCTCTCACAGTTGATCGCCTACTCAAATTACTTCTATCATAACCAATTAGTGCTATGCTTTTCCTCTCTCTCCTCTTCCCAATTCCCATTAGTGGCAAAGAAGTACGACTTCTTTGACAGTAGATTACTGTATCAGTTCTGCATCAATTTTTGCCGCCGGCGCCACCTGTCTGAGCTCTTGAATGAAACTGAGCGAGACAAAAAGGAAGGCGTATCAGTGCATGCACTGGAGGACAACCATGCAGACAGCCCCTTTGTCCTGCCCAAGATCCCCCCACAAGAGGAATGCAGTGGGTTTCAATCTGGTAAATGCAAACATAAAAACAAAGCAAGAGCTCTAAAATACTTTATATGCAAAAATAATTCCAAGGTAGTCTATACTGTTGTGACACAGTGGATGAGCTGTATATGCATACATGCATGCATTTATGTCTGACCTCTCATAGCAGTGCAGCCCAATAAACCATTGAAGATGATATCCAATGTGCATCAGGCCAGTTTGAATTCTCTGCAGCTACATGCTAGTGGATATTTACCCCCTGCCACACTCTCCTCTGCCCCAGTGGTGAGATGCAATCCAAAATCAGGTCAGATCGTCCCTCTGTTCTTTTTTGACATCATTCATTCTGTTCAGGCTTACACCGATGTAGTCTCCCTAAGCAGTTCGTTTCTGATGAAAGCCATTAGGGCCAAAACATAATGTTTTAACCGAAAAGTATAAACATTTAAAATATATATATATATATTGAGCAAGAGCACCTACTTTTTTCTGACCTGTTAAGTCTCCCAGAGGGCAACATGGTTTAGCAATGCTATTGATAAAATAATGTATTTAAACACTGAAATGAAAACTCTACATCGGTTTTGACAGTGCTTAAGAGGAATGTGACATGTGAGGAGCTACTGTCCCCTGGTGCACCCTTCATCAAGAGAGTGTTGACGGTGAGCTATAAGGCAAATATACTGTATGACCATCCTCTTTCTAGTCTTTTCTCTATTGGGGAAGTAAATATGTATTTAGTCCCCTCATACCAGTGTTTTGCATCTCAGGTGATGGGAGATGCAGTGGGCTGGGGCTTTGTGATCAGAGGTATGGCTCCAGTTTACGTCCAGGCAGTTGATCCTGGAAGCCCTGCTGCTGCAGCAGGGGTTAAGGTAACACAAACACACACAAAAATAGTTACACACACAGTAATATATGACTATGTATTTATTTTCACATTCTCCTGTGATTCTAATTCTATGCCTAGGTGCGTCAGTTTGTTTGCCAGGTGAATGGGCGAAGCGTTCTTCACCTGGATTACCGCCAGGTCACCAGATTGGTGATGACCGGACCTCGCACTGTTGTGTTGGAGGTCATGGAACCACTGGGGTGACTTGAAGTGCCTTCAAAATCCTCCAAAATCAGCCTCCAAAATCTCCTGAACTAACTAAACTATTGTGTGCTGTGTGCCAAATGGGAAAATTGTGGTATCTTTGGCTGCATTTAGACAGGCAGCCCAATGATGATCTTATCCACTAATTGGTCTCTCTTCCACTCTGATCTCTTTAGTTTGTGACAAGCACCCTATGTTCAAGGATGCAAAATTGCTGTACCGTTTCCTTAAGGATGATGGCACATTTCCATTTAACACCGAGGTGAACGTCTTCATCCGAGGACAACGATTGTATGAGCAGTAAGAACTACTTTGTTCACCCTGGGGGGTCTCTATCTCGTAGGAACAAGTGCCCTTGCAGAGGACAAGCCTATCTTAGGGTAGCCACATCATCTGTATTATGTTCTCAGTACTGTGTACTTTTGACCAATCAAACCAGATCTTTTCACATCAGAGCTTTTTCAGCACTGATCTGATTGGTCCAAAAGATCAATTACTGAAAAAAGATTAGGATTGGGCTGCCTGTCTAAACCCAGCCCTTGTAGCCTACAAAGAGATCTGTAAACTACTTCCAATTTCTTATGTCTTGAAATAAAAATTATCGCAGTGCATGGCTTTGTTGTTGCGCATCAATGGCTGTTGATCGCTGAGTTGTAGATTCGGCCTGTTAAATATTATTATGTCTATTCATGATGTAGCTACAGTAGCTAGCCTAGAGAGAGAAAAAATACATACTGAAAATAAATATAAACGCAACATGTAAACTGTTGGTCCCATGTTTCATGAGCTGAAACAAAGATCCCAGAAATGTTCCATATGCACAAAAAAAGGGGCACTAAAATGCTGGGGACAATAAAAGGGCACTAAAATGTGCAGTTTTGTCACACAACACAATGCCACAAATGTCTCAAGTTTTGAGGGAGTGTGCAATTGGCATGCTGACTGCAGGAATGTCCACCAGAGCTATTGCCAGAGAATGTAATGTTAATTTCTCTACCATAAACCGCCAACAACTTTGTTTTAGAGAATTTGGCAGGATGTCCAACTGGCCTCACAACCACATACCACGTGTATGGCGTCTTGTGGGTGAGTGGTTTGCTGATGTCAATGTTGTGAACAGAGTGCCCCATGGTGCAGTGGGGTTATGGTATGGGCAGGAATATGCTACTGACAATAAACACAATTACATTTGATCGATGGCAAATTGAATACACAGAGCTATCGTGACAAGATCATGAGGCCCATTGTCGTGCCATTCATCCGCCGCCATCACCTCATGTTTCAGCATGATAACGCACCGTACCATGTCGCGCAAGGATCTGTACACAATTCCTGTAAACTGAAAATGTCCCAGTTCTTCCATGGCCTGCATAGTCACCAGACATGTCACCCATTGAGTATGTTTGGGATGCGCTGGATCGACGTGTACTACAGCGTGTTCCAGTTCACGGCAATATCCAGCAACTTCGCACAGCCATTGAAGAGTAGGACAACATTCCACAGGTCACAATCTACAGCCTGATCAACTCTATGCATAGGAGGCGCTGCATGAGTCAGATGGTGGTCACACCAGATACTGACTGGTTTTCTGATCCACGCCACTACCAGATACTGACTGGGATACAGATGCATATCCGTATTCCCAGTCATGTGAAATCCATAGATTGGGGCCCTAATTCATTTATTGACTGGTTTCCTTATATGAACTGTAAGTCAGTAAAATATTTGAAATTGTTGCGTTTATATTTTTGTTCAGTATATATAAAAAAGGCAGCAGTATTCTATGGGCCCATATATCGTGGATTATGTGGGTGGGTCCAGTTCAAGTAAAACATATTTGTAATGAAACGTTCCTTCATTTTACACTCAAGAAACATTGGTGAGACGTTTGAAACAAATACATACTCAGTGCTAAAGAAGGAACGTATCTCAGAAAAAATCGTACATTAAAAACTTATCTCCCTAAACATTCACTTCCGTCTTTTTCTCCTCGCCATTTTGGATTGAATTGTTGATTTGGGCTGGGGGTTAGTTGGTAACATTCGAGAGAGAAGGATCGATTGATGATTATCGGAGTTTATTGTAACAGTCCAATGTGCCATGTATGCTTTCTAATATGCACTAGCATGTATCACAAATATTTTGGCTGTTAGAAATTAATCTAACGTATTGCAGATGGCACAGAGATTCGGCTAGCTAGCTAAGCAGCAACACCGGCTTGGCGAGGACGAACAACAACTGCATCATTGAGTTGGATTCAATCGTTGGCCAGCTAGCGAGCTAACGTTACTTGTTAGCTAGCATACGATCTCAGTAAACCATTTGGGCTCCCAGTTTTTGTGTGGTCGGGTTCGGAGACATACCAGGTAAGTTTGGTTGGAGGAAACAATCAACATTTGTTTTATAATTAGCTAGCTACGCGGTATGTGAGGCAACTGACGTTTAAATAGTTAACAAACATGCATGGCTACCAAACGGCTGCGCTAGCTAGCTGGTCGATTAGACGTTGGCTAACTACTGCATGCTAGCCAGCTCGCTTTCTACTAAGCTTAACCCCAGACGTCAGCTAACAAGTAAGTTAAATGGTAACTAGCATCCATTGTGTATTTTCTTCCTCAGTCCCGCGTTAGTTAGCTGGCTTTTATGCTTGCTAAAAACGATGCCCTTTCACGGTAACAATAGCTAGCTATATACTACCCATGCTTTTCAGTGCACTACATTTTGAAAAGAATAGCTAGCTTTACTGTTAACAATGTACCTAACTAGCTAGCTTAGCTACCGTAAATTCAAAAGCCTACTTTGCAGGCACAACTAAGCCAAGTTAGCTAGCTAACTTAGCTAGATAGTCGTCCCAAAATCTTTGACTGAACGCTACCATTACCACGTTTAGCTTGCTTTAATCACGATATCACTACTTAGCAAGCTAGGCCCATAGATACAGGAAGCAAATAGATTTGTTGAAAATAAATCATGTTGTGCCAGAACTGAAGTCCCATCACTTGTGTGCCATCCATGCGGCTTTCTTGTGACTTAGCTATGCAACTGCAAAGAATCATAACTAACATTATAGCTAAGGCATCAGAGTGATTCTTCACGAAACCTGGGCATAAAAAATACCATGACTTTTTTTGGAATTTTCATGAAATGTAATCCATAGAATGGTCCTTTTCGGAGGAACGATTGTTGACATATATTTGACATTGCATCTAAAAGCGTAATTGCGAAATAATTAATACAAGTTGGTATGTTAATGAGGTTTTGGCCTTACCCAGGCCTCCTTTAAACCAGTTAAATGTAACTGAATGTAATCGAAAATGTCATCTACGTTATCCCCAAAAGTAATTATTTATCATGAGGGTCATAAACAACAACTAGTAATACTGCATATTCAAAGAAAGGTTAAAATCTCACCTTTCTGGTAAAAATTGCTGAGGTGTAGTCACTTTTGAGGACAGAAGCTCAAGTACCCAGTACAAATATGATGAAAATATGAAATATTTAATAATGTATTTCCTATTCAACAAAACTGTATGAAAAGGGCTTGAAATGACTTAAATGCTTTCTAAATATAGCATAATCAAATTATAAAACGACTAAGATTTCACCTTCCTTATAACTGTAAAATGCATATTTGTATGTTTAGTGTTAGACAAAATGTGAATCTTTTCTGGAGGTCTCTTGATCAAAATGTCTTCCCCCATAGCTGTGAATGTCTCACAGGGCTCTAGCATGGCTTCCTGAACTCGTTAGGAATTCGGCTTTCGTCTCATTAATCTTGTCCGTCTATGACAAACAGAAAGGTTTTTTTGTTTAACATGTATGAATTATTTTAGAGTAGTGGGTGTAAATTGACTTTTGAATGTGCTACCGTGATGAAACCACTCTCCCCTGCTGCACTATGATGTAAGGATTGCAGTCATGTGCTTTGTCGGTGGCTGTGATGTAGGATTCAACCAGGAGTTGATGGACAGTCGAAAAAGCAAATGAAATGGTAGGAGGGACATCCCAGCTTCAAGTGGTTTCAGATTTCACAGGCTCAGAAAAAAATACTACTGTGTCTGTGGGAACCAGGGCTATCACTCGATGCAAGCCATTTCGATCTATGGTGTCCACAGATCGATTTATAATTGAAAATGTTGGTCGGAACCGGTACCAGAAACACGCAGGTCCCTTACATCTAAGAGGTTTTAAAGACTCCATAGTGTTTCATCTGTAGGCAGGGCCGGCTCTAGCTTTTTGGAGGCTCTAATCGGGACTTTTTAAAATATAGTGTCCCCCCTCTTGACCACGGAGATACATTTTCGTTTGAAAGTTAATTTACTGCAATTCTACACATTTTGCCATGGGGCGTAGAGAAATTGTTGCAGTTTTAAAGCACGTTTTCTGCAGTTCTACACATTTTGCCATGGGGGCGGTGAGAAAATGTTTCCATTTTATAACACATTTCAAGCAATTCTACTCATTTTGCCATGGGGCAGAGATACATTTTTGCAGTTTTAATCCTTAAGTCTAAGTAACATTTAAAAAAAAATCCCCATCAAAATCCGCCAGTTTAAGCTAGAGATATCAGGTTTTCCACCGCATCCGCCTATGTTGGTCTTCCGCATCTGTAGTGTAAGGTGGCCGGGCTACAGCGGTGTTTGTCAGACCATGAGACATACCGAAAATCGGTCTTCTCACAAAAAAGTCTGTAGGGTCTGAACGGTTTGGCCTAGAAACTGTTATTAGCACAATATGGAAAGGGGAGACTCACGAACACAATGGTGTTCTCAGTTTTGCACAACGACCCCCCCCCCCACAAGTCAAGTGTCACGGGACTACAGATTTTGCCATGACGTATGCTATGTTAATGATATCTGAGAGAGAGTGACTATCAAATTCAATGGGTGCCCCCTGGAGGTCAGCGCCCCTGGGCACTTGCTGTGCGTGCCCGGTCGGTATTCGGCCATGATTAATACAAGTTTAGATAAGTTAGTCTAGCCAGTTACCAATCAATCTAAAACATGCATTGCCTACTATGTGGGACATAAGTTATCATTTTTAACTAGCAGAGATCCCACTCTGGAACTTTGATATGCCTGTAGACAAGATTGTATTATGTTCAACAATTTATAGAATATTTTCAATATTCATAAATTAATGTAAGAAAATTGATAGACTGGTTAGCTGACAACGTCACAAACGCTGCGCACTATTCAATGTGGCAAAAGTCTGTGTGTTGTGATTCTGGATGGCCAGATAGCTAGCAACAATGACATGAAGCTGCCATGCAGGGAATCGTAGGTAGCTCATTTCAGCTAGTTTTATCATGTCTTGTTTTGACTGATGTCATGTCTATGCTAATATGCCTCAAATGTGCTTGCTAGCAGCTAACCAACAACTGTAACGATGTAGGCCATATAGGTTTGACATGAGTACTAATAGAATTCTCCCTGATTTATTCTTCTTGCAGACTAGAAAGATGTATCAGCTCCCTGTGAACAACCTCACTAGCATACGAAGAGCAAGGAAACAGGTGAAGAAGGCACTTAGTGACATTGGACTGGAGTACTGCAAGGAGCAAGCAGAGGTGAGCTTAAATGTTTACCTAGAACTAAGGTTTTGTGGAAGTGTGTCTGTGACTTCCGTGAGTGTTTCATTCATAATTTTGTAGTCACTTGTGCTCTCGAAAACATTGTGGTGGTAGAAATAAATAGGCATATAATCCAATTTGACAAGATCCAGCATACAGCTCTGTGATTTCTGATCAAAATGCTCTTCCCTCTCACATAGGACCTCAAAGAATTTTGCCCAGATGAGAACTATGTGAAGAATACTGTCTGCCTGGAACTTTGTTCATGGGATCCGTCATTCTCCAAAACACAGGTAAATCACTCACACTAGGCAATTTAAAAGATTGGTTATTAAATTACCACTTATTCTGGGGCTTGTAATGATTATAGTGCTTCTTCTTTGTTTGTCACAATCATAAATAAAACTAGCATTGGATGAGGGAGCAATCATTAAAATGTTCTAACTGTTGTGATAACAAAGAAAGATAAAACAAAAATGTGGTGCAGTGTCCCATTCTCAAACTCTCATGGGTATTTGTGTGTCTTACAGGAGTACCGGTCAAAGCCTTTCTGCTGCACCGAGTGCCACTTCTCTTCCAAGTACTACTCAGGCTACAAGAACCACTTCCGAAATGTCCACAGGAACAATTTTGAGAGCCGCATCCTGCTCAACTGCCCTTACTGCACCTTCACTGCGAGCAAGAAGACTATGGAAACGCATGTCAAGGTCTTCCACATATCCAGTGTGGTGCGTCAGGGTCTGGGCGCCTACCAGGGGGCTGCTGTGGGGGCAAATAACAAGGTGGAGAGGGCAATGTACTATTGCAAGAAGTGTACCTACCGGGACCCTCTGTACAATGTTGTGCGACGGCACATCTACAGGGAGCACTTCCAGCATGTGGTCTCACCCTATGTTGCCATGGTCTCAGAAACATCAGTAAAAAATGGGGCTAATGCTGTCAATGGTAACAACATCCTCTGTAAGCGCTGTCAGTTCTCCACCCGTAGCTATGAGGCGTTAGTGCAGCATGTCATTGAATATCATGAGCGCATTGGCTCTCAGGTGACAACCATGATTGGACATGCTAATGTTGTGGTGTCTAGACCCCAAAGCTATGGGATGGCCCAGAAGGGTTCTGTGGTGACTGGGGGTCGTACTCTGACGTCTGAACAGGTTAGCCATATGGTGGGGTCCCATCAAAAGCAGGGGGCTTCTGGACTGAAGAATATGACCAGTCAGTCCTCTATTGCTGGCCAGCGTTTGACCATTCCTGGCCATAGTGGGTTGGGAGAAGGCAGATCCTCCTTATCCAATAACTTAACGTCACCCTCAGGAAAGCAGGTTTCTGGTGCTAACGCTAGTCTTACATCCCAAACACAGAAGTGGAAGATATGCACGGTCTGCAATGAGCTCTTCCCTGAAAACCTGTACAGTGCTCATTTTGAGAAGGCACACAAGGCTAAGAAGGTATGGGCAATTGCGAAGTTCATCATGAAGATCCACAACTTCACCAGTAAATGTTTGCTTTGCAACCGATATCTGCCCAGTGACACATTGCTTAACCACATGCTGATCCATGGGCTCACCTGCTCACAGTGTCATGCCAGCTTCAATAATGTGGAGAAAATGCTGGATCATGTGGGGCAGGCTCACCCAGATGACTTTGTTGGTCCTCCAGCTGCCTCCCCGCTTACCTTTGAGCTCACGATTGGGCAGGCTAAGAACAAGATCATACAGCTTATTGTTATAACCTATAACATGAAGGAACCTGTAGCTACCCAGGAGCAGTCTATGGCTTCCCATGCTCAGAACAGCTTCCAAGCTTCAGTGAAGAGTCTGCCTTCAAAGATGCCAGAAAGAAAGAATGACATGCTTGCCAGAAGTCAAGCCACTGTATCTGGAAGCAATGAGGTTGGCAAGACCCTATGCCCACTGTGTTTCACCATCCTGAAGGGTCCTATCTCTGATGCATTGGCACAGCATCTGAGGGAACGACACCAAGTGCTTCAGACGATGCACCCTGTGGAGAAGAAGATGACGTACAAGTGCATCCACTGTTTGGGCGTCTACACCAGCAACATGGTGGCCTCTACGATCACTCTGCACCTTGTGCAGTGCCGAGCTGTGGGCAAGGCCCAGAAGGGCCCGGGACCAAAGTCTGCCTTAACACTTAACTCTTCTGGTGCAGGGTTCTTAAAGCGTCAGCTACCCACCCAAAGCATGTCTGACTCCAAGAGGATGAAGATGAACAATGATGTTGGATATTACCCCATGACCATGGACAAGCCAGGGGAGGCTGTGGATCTAGTGTTGGACCCAAGGAGCTATGAGCACAAGACCTATGAGGCACGAAAAGCCTTCCTCTCAGCCTATTTCAATCGTCGCCCCTATCTAACCTCACAGGAAGAAGAGAAGCTGTCTGCAAGCCTGTGGCTCTGGAAGTCCGACATTGCCAGTCACTTCGCTCACCAGAGGAGGTCATGTGAGAGGGACTGTGAGACCAGGAAATTGAAAGTGCTACTTGGCTTTGACATGCAGGCACTCAAGGGACTGAAGCATGACATGGACTTTGAGGAGAAAACCAAGCTCACTGTCACCTCAGTGGAGAAAGCCTTTAAGTCTAGGCCGGCACTTAACACAGACCAAAGCAAACGATGCGAGACAATTAACTGTACCCTCAAGCTAAGTACTTACACAGAAGTGACAGAACCCATATCTATTGACTCGTCTGATAATGAGTCAGAACAAGAGGACTGTTCCATTGAGAATGGGGAAGTTGACACACACAAATCTGTGGATGTCACATCTTAAGAGAAATCAAACCTGCCAGAAGAGAGATCTCCAAGCATTGATGGGCCTTCAAGAGAGGAGAAGGTGCCTTGGCTTGGTAACATGAGGCATCAAAATGAGAGCAGCCTAAAAGACCTGCAGTACATGGGAAGTATAACGAGGGTTTGGTGCAGGTAATTCTTGCACATTACAGTTCTTCGGTTATAGGATAGTCTGGAAAGGTATGAGAGACTGACAGGACAAATTAAGACTTCATAAAGTCAGTGGGATGCGCAGTTTAAGTAAAGAAAAATGACTCATTCATGAATTAGGAACTACACAAGTATAGAAACAAACTATTAAAACTTCTGGCTCCAGATAAAGGTTTGCTGAAGTGAGCTAAACAATGGTGAAAAAGAAAATGTATGGCGTCTGTAACTAATTTTGGCAGTAACATTGTACATATTTAGTAGGCCCACATTAGATTATGCATACATTCAGACTAATATGTATGTCACAGTTTTAAGTGAAATAAAAAAACTTTCACTCTTCATATAGGCATATGGATTGTCCTCCCATATGATGTATTATTGTCATTTACATTTTAGAGATAGCAGGGTAACATGTATGCCTATGTTCACTTTTGTATAAATAAATAACAATTGGTTTAATAAAGCTGTTTGCAATTAACCTTCACATTTGACCAACACTAGTATCATGTCATTGTGCCCCTCTTGTTATACAAATATACTCCATTGTACAATTAATTTATTAAAGTAAAAATGTTTGTTACATTTGGTTTAAATGTTTGGTAAATTGAAAAGGTCAAGTCAGTAATAGTCCCTCAATTAAATGATAAGTACATTATTTATTGAGAGAAATATTTGTACAAAATCTTTGGGGGAATACATTGACATAAATATCAGAACACACGGAATATCTGCCCTGTGACATTTTGAACACAAATCTCAACTTCCGTTGTGCCTAGTCTGATTGGTTGTTTATTTTGTGAGAAGGCAGAACATCCGATCTACATGAGAAAACTGGCCAATGGCCAACGTGCATTATTAGCCTTTTCGCTGCTGCAAATATGTCGAAATTTTATATGCTTTTATGCACAAAAAGGAATCCACTTTTGAAAAAATCGATACCTCTATATTGAAAGGTACTTCAGTCTTACTTGCAATTGTAAGTATGACAGACCATGGTATTTTTTATGATTAGGTTAGAAAATATTACTATGGAGATGGGAAGCTTGTACAGCAAGATATGAAGCTGTCATTTCTAGCTTGCTAGCAACGATGCTAATTTGATACGTATAACTTCGCTACATACATTCACTTATTTTATGCATACCGTATTGAGAAATTATTGCTTGGTTGTCACTTTTGCTCCAGGTGATATGAACTTAATCTCAATAGGTTTGTTTTCGAGCTGTGAAATCAATGTATATGGCTATTGCGCAGCATGAAAGCAAACACATTTTGACAATTTGTTACTGTTAGCTAGGTTATGCACTTGTCAAACGTGCCATAATGTAAACAATAGCTGTTTCGTTGTATCTAGCGAAGTAACTGCATTGTTTGGTGGAAAAACGCTTTAGATCAGTGGCGGTCGGTGCCGTTTAAGATGAGCATGGCCTTATTACTATTACAGCACATTGGACGACTGCCATTCGTATTCCATTCACCCAGCTCAATGTAACATCGATAGGTTTAGGCTACTACATGATACTCGAATTTTCTCTATACCCATCACGAGGTTGCTACAACCTAGCCTATGAATTAAAGTTTACAACGTAGGTGCACATGTTGAGAGAAAAATGTGAGTAATCAAGGTGACCGTGACACATTCAATACCGTCTTGCACACTTGCCTGCATCTAGCTGATCTAGGGTGTAATCATTAGTCCAGTTGCAAACTAGTGTTTCTATTGGACAAATTCAGTTATGTTTATTCCCGTTTTGTTACGTTTGCTTCCGTTTAAGAAACGTTTTTCAACAGAATCGTCTAAATGAATACACATCTGATCACACGCAAACACAGTTCACTTTCATAGCAGCCATATACAAGCAGCATGATCACTTTGCTCTTGTATAATTCCTTCTTGCATCTACGCGTTCTCCTCCTCTCACCTTTTCATTTCACGTGTGGACTTCAGTGTACAACACATCAGCTGCCTGTGACCAGGCGAAAAAACCTTTCCAAGCCTAACCTTCATATCATAACTGCTACACACAGCCTACATTGTCACCATATTAGCTAACTTCATAGTCAACATAGCTAATAGAAATAACACGTTAGTAAGCCCGCTACAATCATGCAGTACAGTGAGTGTACAGTCAGGAAGCAGTTTAGCTAGCAGTTACACCGGCGGGCCCCGGTAGCAATAAATTAATAAAACCAAAAGCTTACCTTGACTTGGAAGAGTTCCATTGTTGGAAAGCCACAGCCAGCAAGCTAGCTAACATAGCATCCCTATCTGTTTGAGTAGGCTAAACTATCTAGCTGCATTCGCTAGCTAAGTAAGTGAAAGTGAAATATATAGCTAGCTCTCTCTTTTAAGAATTAAGAAATTAATTTGTTCAAAACTGTTGAACTATTGTCTTTCTCTCTCTTTGAGTCAACTACTCACCACATTTCATGCACTGCAGTGCTAGCTAGCTGTAGCTTATGCTTTCAGTATTAGATTAATTATCTGATTCTTTGATTGGGTGCACAACATGTCAGTTCATGCGGTAAGAGCTCTGATAGGTTGGAGGACGTCCTCCGGAAGGTCTCATAATTACTGTGTAAGTCTATGGAAGGGGGTGAGAAACATCAGCCTCCTAGGTTTTGGATTGAAGTCAATGTACCCAGAGGAGGACAGAAACTAGCTGTCCTCCGGGTACACCATGGTGCTACCCTACAGAGTGCTGTTGAGGCTACTGTAGACCTTCATCGCAAAACAGTGTGTTTTAATACATAATTTGGTGACATGTAAATATATTTAGTATAGTTTTATCTAAAAATGATAACTTTTTAAATGTTTCATGATTGAGATTTATCTGAAATGCACTGAGGAGGCTGGTCCTCCCCTTCCTCCTCTGAGGAGCCTCCACTGCATTTAGTTAGCAAAGACAGCTGGCTTGCTACCTGACATCAATGGTATTAATTGCGTAATTAGTTTCATACATGTGTCAGCGGCTTATTTGGAGATGCATGTTTTTTTGTTTTTTTTACCTTACCCAACAGACCTGGATTTAGCAAGACTCTTTCTATATTGGTCTATGTAAGGACTAGGAGATCGTAACATTGAATTACACTATTTCTAGGTGATTGTGATGCTGCTGGGGCAGAGAGTTTCATTATTAATGACAATGACCAATAGAATCCACCGTGTTTTCATGTGTTCTGCATCTGAGAATTTGTGTGTGAGTGTGTGTTTTTCTTCCAGGGTGTGATTACTTGTTGCAGCCCAGAGGAAACTGCCAGACGGCAAGCCTTCATTCCAGACATCCCAGTTACAGTGTTAGGTATGGCAGGAGAGCCCTGGGAATCCAAATAGTGTAGAGTCAATGGATAAAGAGTGTGCATAGAAGGTGGAAAATATGTCTTACAGTAACAGGGAACTGGTGGTGTTTTTTATAAGCTATAAACTGTCCCAGAGAAATTATCCATGTTGTCAATTGGTGCTGGAGGGTGCAAGTGGACGGACTGAGGGGGAAGAAGCCATTGCAAATGGGTCTTTGGGGAACAACAGGAATGGCAGAAGCAATTTGGGTAAGCCTTCATCTCCACAGGGGGGCATTGAGGCAGTGAAAGCAGCACTACGGGACTCAGTGGATGAGTTTGAGCTGCGCTACACCCGCGCCTTCAGTGACCTTTCCTCCCAGCTCCACATCACCCCTGCCACAGCCTACCACAGCTTTGAGAGCGTGATGGACGAAGTGTTCAGGGACGGGGTCAACTGGGGTCGCGTGGTGGGCCTGTTTGCTTTCGGCGGGGCCCTGTGCATTGAGTGTGTTGAGAAGGATATGAGCCACCTGGTGACGCGCATCGCAGACTGGATGGCCACCTACCTGGACAACCATATCCAGCCCTGGATCCAGAGCCAAGGAGGATGGGTAGGTTAGAGCTGATACTATACATCCAAACATTATACATCCTTGTTACAGGCTTTAGTAATACATTCTCATTGTCAACACTATGGTGTGTGTGTGTGTGTGCCTCCTTTGCTGCACCCACTCAGAGAAATTGAAGATACTATGATAGACTACACTAAAGGGAGAAGCTACAGTGGGGTATGGGGGCACACTGATGGGTTGTGAACACATAGTTCACTGTATGTATCTTCCTCTGTCTCTGTTCCCTGAAAGGACTGTTTTGCGGAGATCTTCGGCAGAGATGCAGCTGCAGACGTCCGACGGTCCCAGGAGAGCTTAAGAAAATGGCTGCTAGTTGGGGTGATGCTGCTTTCAGGAGTACTGGTCGGCACTCTCATCATGAAGAAACGCCAGTGAGTGGTGGAATACAAGCAACATCTGCTTTACCCCCAGCACATATAAACGCAAAATCAATGAAAATAGAACTTAATAGTTTGTTTACATAAGCCCAGTCTGCTTGTGCACTGACAGAAACCTGATTAATAGCCCTGGCTATTGCAGTTTTTGGGCAATCAATATGTAGCTTGGTGAGCTGTTTTACTGATTGCGTCTCATGTCCTGCGCCCTTCTTTTTACATTTTAAAAGTGATATGTAAAATAACATTTTATGATATTTTTCATATTATTGGTTTTATTTTTTATTCTTTACCTTGGTAAAGGGTGTTGCATTCGAGACTGGAGATGCTTTAAATGGACCTGATAAGCTAAGAGTGAATGGGAAAAATGCAGCTGGTGTGATAGATTGTTTTCGTGTTTTTAGGTTTGTGTGTTACCCTGTATACCCTAGGACCAACTACAGACATTCTTTCCAAATGGACATTTGACCAATTACATTGAAGATTCTAAAATATTGTTTTTATTTAGTTTGCTCCAAGATGTTAAACCAAACCTCTGTTTTCATTTGACATTTTCTTAAAATGTTCTGTTCCTTAATGTGCTGAAGTTTCAGGCATGCTCTAAATAATAAAACATATTTATGTTTTAAGTGTTTTTGTTCTATGTGATTCACTGACAATAGTACCACACAAAGAGTGAGAACACAGAAAAAGTAATGAATCCAGATTGGCCACGCTGCATTCTCATATGCCATTAGGGGGTGCATGTGCTCAACAAATACAGTTTCTGGAGTGACTATTTTTCAGCCTCAACTCTCAGTGCAACATATCAGGAATACCTTTTCCTGTTTCCCAGAGACTGTTGCTCTGAAAAGTGTATCTCTAATATACTGCCAATGTCACATTGTCTCTAGAAGGTCTTCGCTAGTAAAGTTTGGAAATTGCTTACAGCACTGATGGCAGTGAAACATCCAACTTGGTTTGGAATCATAGTCCTGCTACCCTTGCACAATTAAAAGAAGCCATTGTAATCCCTTTGAATTTCATATTTGTAGTATGTAGTTGTAAATAATGGATACTTCCTTTTCTCATCCTACACAATATAGTCAATACTTTTTTCAACATACACTTTTATTCAAGAGCACATACAGAATAGTTTATTGATGTATTACTCTGAAGAAGAATCACATAGGCTGATAAACTTTTAGGTATATCCTGATAATAACATACTACTGGATCTGTTCATTGGAACCTATGATATTCAAAACACACTAAGAGATGACTTCTCAAAGAAGAAGGCTGAAAGTGTGAATGGAATAGACAGATGACAGATATGGAAGGACTATACAGAGCCTGTGGTTGCTAATCTCTCCCTGTCATTTGTTGCCTTTTCCGCAAACCATAGCTAGCCGCACCAGAGGATAAAGCCAGTTAAGGAAAGACAAATAAATTATCGAAACACCAGCTTCTCAGAGAATCTAACTCTTACTCGTCATATTCTCATGTCATATTCCCTACCTCTGAATCTTGCTTCTTTTTGAAAGCTCACAAAACTGTGAGAGGAAGAAGCCGAAGCAGAGTTGTATATTCAAAACTATATTATTATAGAGAATATGTATAGGGAATATACTGTATATAATATGAGGAGTGATATTTATGGGAAATAAAGATGGCTGAATTCTCAGTGATTTATTTCACAAGGACTCTTCTCTATACAGTGGGGGAAAAAAGTATTTAGTCAGCCACCAATTGTGCAAGTTCTCCCACTTAAAAAGATGAGAGAGGCCTGTAATTTTCATCATAGGTACACGTCAACTATGACAGACAAATAGAGGAAAAAAAATCCAGAAAATCACATTGTAGGAATTTTTATGAATTTATTTGCAAATTATGGTGGAAAATAAGTATTTGGTCACCTACAAACAAGCAAGATTTCTGGCTCTCACAGACCTGTAACTTCTTCTTTAAGAGGCTCCTCTGTCCTCCACTCGTTACCTGTATTAATGGCACCTGTTTGAACTTGTTATCAGTATAAAAGACACCTGTCCACAACCTCAAACAATCACACTCCAAACTCCACTATGGCCAAGACCAAAAAGCTGTCAAAGGACACCAGAAACAAAATTGTAGACCTGCACCAGGCTGGGAAGACTGAATCTGCAATAGGTAAGCAGCTTGGTTTGAAGAAATCAACTGTGGGAGCAATTATTAGGAAATGGAAGACATACAAGACCACTGATAATCTCCCTCGATCTGGGGCTCCACGCAAGATCTCACCCCGTGGGGTCAAAATGATCACAAGAACGGTGAGCAAAAATCCCAGAACCACACGGGGGGACCTAGTGAATGACCTGCAGAGAGCTGGGACCAAAGTAACAAAGCCTATCATCAGTAACACACTACACCGCCAGGGACTCAAATCCTGCAGTGCCAGACGTGTCCCCCTGCTTAAGCCAGTACATGTCCAGGCCCGTCTGAAGTTTGCTAGACTGCATTTGGATGATCCAGAAGAGGATTGGGAGAATGTCATATGGTCAGATGAAACCAAAATAGAACTTTTTGGTAAAAACTCAACTGGTCGTGTTTGGAGGACAAAGAATGCTGAGTTGCATCCAAAGAACACCATACCTACTGTGAAGCATGGGGGTGGAAACATCATGCTTTGGGGCTGTTTTTCTGCAAAGGGACCAGGACGACTGATCCGTGTAAAGGAAAGAATGGGGCCATGTATCGTGAGATTTTGAGTGAAAACCTCCTTCCATCAGCAAGGGCATTGAAGATGAAACGTGGCTGGGTCTTTCAGCATGACAATGATCCCAAACACACCACCCGGGCAACGAAGGAGTGGCTTCGTAAGAAGCATTTCAAGGTCCTGGAGTGGCCTAGCCAGTCTCCAGATCTCAACCCCATAGAAAATCTTTGGAGGGAGTTGAAAGTCCGTGTTGCCCAGCGACAGCCCCAAAACATCACTGCTCTAGAGGAGATCTGCATGGAGGAATGGGCCAAAATACCAGCAACAGTGTGTGAAAACCTTGTGAAGACTTACAGAAAACGTTTGACCTGTGTCATTGCCAACAAAGGGTATATAACAAAGTATTGAGAAACTTTTGTTATTGACCAAATACTTATTTTCCACCATAATTTGCAAATAAATTCATAAAAAATCCTACAATGTGATTTTCTGGATTTTTTTTCTCATTTTGTCTGTCATAGTTGACGTGTACCTATGATGAAAATTACAGGCCTCTCTCATCTTTTTAAGTGGGAGAACTTGCACAATTGGTGGCTGACTAAATACTTTTTTCCCCACTGTACATCATGCTTGGGCTCAATTCAGAATTTTGGAATTGACTCCCCACTCAACTCACGAGTTGAAATTCGAATTGGCCACACCCCACAGGATGTAGAATTTGAGTTTTAGTAACAGGAAGAAGAATTTAGTTCCGTGAAACTCGATGAAATTCAGTCATAGCACATGAGAGTTTCATTGAATCTGACAGGTCACACTTCCAGATACCAAAGAATATAGCACTTTTTTCTGGAAACAATATTCATATACTCTTTTAACCTTAGTGCTTAGAATAGCCAATTATATTTACACCAACCCTTTCATTTGTTTGGCTTCTTTTTTAAGGCCTCGGGGTCAACCTGAGGGTTAAACGAATGCATTCTGGGAAATTTAGTATTTTCCCCATATTGAACAAAATGTAAGTGATTAATGAAATATAATAATTTAGAATAGTCGCATACAGGTTTTGTTTTCCTTGACCATTCATGTCCTGAAAATCAATTGTTTCAACAATATTTTATATGCATGTACAGTACCAGTCAAAAGTTTGGACACACCTACTCATTCCAGGGTTTTTCTTTATTTTTACTATTTTATACATTGTAGAATAATTGTTAAGACATCAAAATCAAAAAGGTGTTAAACAAATCAAAATATATTTTATATTTGAGATTCTTCAAAGTAGCCATCCTTTGCCTTGATGACAGCTTTGCACACTCTTGGCATTCTCTCAACTAGCTTCATGAGGTAGTCACCTGGAATGCATTTCAATTAACAGGTGTGCCTTGTTAAAAATTAATTTGGGGAATTTCTTTCCTTCTTAATGCATTTGAGCCAATCAGTTGTGTTGTGACAAGGTAGGTGGGGTATACAGATGATAGCCCTATTTGGTAAAAGACCAAGTTCATGTTATGGCAAGAACAGCTCAAATAAGCAAAGAGAAATGACAGTCCATCATTACTTTAAGACATGAAGGTCAGTCAATATGGACAATTTCAAGGACTTTGAAAGTTTCTTCAAGTGCAGTCGCAAAAACCATCAAGCGCTATGATGAAACTGCCTCTCATGAGGACCTCCACAGCAAAGGAAGACCCAGAGTTACCTCTGCTGCAGAGGATAAGTTCATTAAAGTTAGCTGCACCTCAGATTGCAGCCCAAATAAATGCTTCACAGAGTTCAAGTAACAGACATCTCAACATTAACTGTTCAGAGGAGACTGTGTGAATCAGGCCTTCATGGTCGAATTGCTGCAAAGAAACCACTACTAAAGGACACCATTAAGAAGAAGAGACTTGCTTGGGCCTAGAAACATGAGCAATGTACATTCGACCGGTGGAAATCTGTCCTTTGGTCTGATGAGTCCAATTGTAAGGTTTTTGGTTCCAACCGCCGTGTCTTTGTGAGACGCAGAGTAGGTGAATGGAAGATCTCCGCATGTGTGGTTCCCACCGTGAAGCATGGAGGAGGAGGTGTGGGGTGCTTTGCTGGTGACACTGTGATTTATTTAGAATTCAATGCACACTTAACCAGCATAGCTACCACAGCATTCTGCAGCGGTACACCATCCCATCTGGTTTGCGCTTAATTGGACTATTATTTCTTTTTCATTTACATTGACATTTACGTCATTTAGCAGACACTCTTATCCAGAGCGACTTACAAATTGGTGCATTCACCTTATAGCCAGTGGGATAACCACTTTACAATGTTTTTTTGTTTTTTTTGGGGGGGGTGGGTTGGGGTAAGGGGGGGGGGGGGGGTAGAAGGATGACTTTATCCTATTCCAGGTATTCCTTAAAGAGGTGGGGTTTCAAATGTCTCCGGAAGGTGGTGGGTGACTCCGCTGTCCTGGCGTCGTGAGGGAGCTTGTTCCACCATTGGGGTGCCAGAGCAGCGAACAGTTTTGACTGGGCTGAGCGGGAACTGTGCTTCCGCAGAGGTAGGGGACACAGCAGGCCAGAGGTGGATGAACGCAATGCCCTCGTTTGGGTGTAGGGACTGATTAGAGCCTGAAGGTACGGAGGTGCCGTTCCCCTCACACCTCCGTAGGCAAGCACCATGGTCTTGTAGCAGATGCGAGCTTCAACTGGAAGCCAGTGGAGTGTGCGGAGGAGCGGGGTGACGTGAGAGAACTTGGGAAGGTTGAACACCAGATGGGCTGCGGCATTCTGGATGAGTTGTAGGGGTTTAATGGCACAGGCAGGGAGCCCAGCCAACAGCGAGTTGCAGTAATCCAGACGGGAGATGACAAGTGCCTGGATTAGGACCTGTGCCACTTCCTGTGTAAGGCAGGGTCGTACTCTCCGAATGTTGTAGAGCATGAACCTACAGGATCGGGTCACCTCC